CTCGATCCTATGATCTTTTACTCATTGTGAGGCTGCACAGATTCGTGGTTATCCATCTCAAAGCCCTTCCACCTCATATCTAGCCTCTGTGAAAGGTAACTCTTTGTATGTGACTGAACTATGTTAATTTATACTTCTTTTTTTTGCATAATAGCTCTTTAATCTTTTTTCTTCACAGTGAAAGTTCACTCTTCTGTTGAGTTTGTTGTTAATATATCATGATCTCACATCGCTTAATATTGCATTATTCTCTCATTTTCAACAATATATACAGAAACGGAGAATTTCCATGATTATTGTTCATATGAAACTAGTTCATTATACAGTAATGCACAGTATAGTAATGAGGGCTTCTGCATTTTTCTCTCAATATTGAAATGGATTCTGTCATATTGTTATTCTGTTTTCTCCTCCTCTCATCTTTCGCCCATTTACATTTTTTTTTCCTGTCTCACTATCTTTGCAGCGACTTTTCTTCTTGCTCTTTTGCTCCTTCCCTTTTATATCTGTCAGCTGGCTAAGTATCATATGTCATTTAATGGGATGATTTGTTGTTACGGAGTCATCAGTCACCAAAAGCTAAATGATGAAATGAGAGTGTGAGCGGCACTGTCTTGTCTGTAATGAATTATGCGGGGCGGGGGGGTCAGGGGCCTCTGTTTTGGTTACAGTCCACAGCACAAACACGGACCTCAGGTAGTACACTCATCAGTCCTGCTGTTTCTCACCATATGGAGGCAATGAACTGGGACACCCCTCCTACGCACACACACACACACGCACACACACACACACACACACACACACACACACACACACACACGGAGCCACTTCACTTCACATGCACTCACTCTCATGTGCCTGCAGACACAATTTCATAGTAATACAGTAGATAGATGGATGGATAGATATTCTGATGTTTTTCATATTATCAAAAATGTTCATATAAAATCAAAATGATAGATAGATAGATAGATAGATAGATAGAAAAAAAGCATATCTATAAATCTGGCCAATAGTGGTCAATATTTTTTCCCCTTTTCGTGTCTTTCAGTGTTTAATTGGATGAAATTGTCCACAGACAAATTAAATTAGACGTTCCCGCCTCTGTTCAATTGAGATATCTGTTACAGATGATGTGCCGTATAATGAATGCCTAATTTATGTAATTAGACCATTAAGCATAATCCGAGCATATGTTGTGAATGCCCTGAGGTCTTCTTCCAGGTACTCCCTCTGATGTCACCCTAGAAACAACTAATGGAGTGGGCTGCCAGGAGGACTCTGGTCCCGCTGTTTAGCAGAATAAACAACAAATATATTATGATATCACCAATCATAATAATGGAGAACACCAGAGACAGGCCTGTACACATTTCCTTTTCTGGTGGAAAAAAAAAAATCATATTCAAAGGGTGGGGGGCAGCGTGTGAAGATGGCTTTTGAGTAGTGTGGATATCCCGCCGTATAGGCTAAATTTGCCATTGAGGAGATTCTTGTGAGAGCCCTCTGTCTGCTAATTAATTGTCATTCTGCTGAATATTCATACCTTATCATCAGCGCGTCCTTAATTGCACCGTAAAACATCTCCAGGGGCTGAAATCACCACGGACTTAATTAGAAGCACAGGCCTATTGGTTGGGTTGGAGAGTCACAGTTTGCAGCAGCAGCAGCAGACAACAAACTGAACCTGCTCTCTCTCTCTCTCTCTCTCTCTCTCACTCACACACACACACACACACACACACACACACACACACAAACAGTGAGCGTGTGTTTAACACTGGGGCCAGGCAGATAACAAATCCCTTTAAACCTACAGGCCTGCTAATGATAATCAGCGTGAAGACAACTGAAACATCTCAAAGAGAAAACCCGCGCTTAATTTACACTCATAATTCACCGGGATTAGAAATGTTTGTCTTAAAAAATGTGAATTTGCACACCTCTAGCAATGATCTGTCTATTTGTAGGTTGATTGTAGTGATGTCGGCAGCCGGGCTGCTGTGGAGAGGTAAAGTTCAGAAAAAACAACAATGAAAGACAATTTGCAATCACCACAAAAATAAAGCTGGGAAGCTGTGGAAAGATGTAATCGAGATCACGGAGCCTATTTATTATTTTTATTAATTAATCTCCATTTTTCAAACATGGGTTCAGCCCTTGAAGAAATGTTTCCATGTGTAAGAAGCATCTTCCTCAGCTTTAAATTTCTCTTAATCGTTCCCTGAATAGCCCCCCCCCCTCCTCCCCTCTCTCTCCCTCTCTCCCTCTCTCTCTCTCTCTCCCTCTCCCTCTCGGTAGGTCTGGGTGGCAGCATATCTCAACTCGATTCAGTGTGACAATATTGTTTGGCTATCATTCGCTGCTTTAGGATGAATGGCATCGATCCGCTTTTAACAACATTTGTTTCCTATTGTGTCCGGGGCCGCAGCAGAGGAGGGCAGACGTGTGAAAGTGGCTGTTTGATTCTCTTTTTCATCCCCATGACCTCAGCTTTTGTGTCTCGTCACCCTGGGAATGTCACGCCTCACTACTCTACTTTAAGATGTTTCAGAAAGTGCCCTTTGTTTTCGCTCCTCTTTTTTTTTTCTTTTTTTTTTTTTTTTTTTAAAGCTCACACAAAATTGTTCTTGGTCCCCTCCTGCTATAAAGGATACTTCAGACTGAGGCACGGTTCACAAGTGCAATGCAATTTGGCTTATCCCAACCTTTGTTCGGGTTTCTACAAATGACCAAACATAGTGCGGACTTGATCTACTGCTGCTTGAACTCAGGAGTTTGGGAGCAGCTAAAAACCTCTATTCAGATTCAGAGTCATGGTGGTATTTTCAGTGTGTGCATTCGACAGGGACAAAGGGGCCTACCAATATCCCATAACCCTGAAGCTCAAAAAGCCACACCGTCTGTGTGTGAGAGGAGAAGAAGAAGAAAAAAGAAAAAAAAAAAAAACTCTTACTGCTCCTCGGTGGCTCGACTGGTTAACGCGAGTGTTGCAGGTTAACTTGCAAACGGGCATGACAGCAAGTCTGCAGTGCAAACATGAATTTAAAAAAAAATTGTCACTTCAAGGAGGGAGAAATGTAAAATTAAGAATCGTGCGTAATAATCGGTGTGACTCACTGCATGCCTCAATAATTACGTTTCACAATCACCGTTTTTGCACATAAAAAAAGTCTAACTGCTTTGTGCACGGACATATTAATCTGGGTGGGCCCCAAAAATATAAAAATTTTTTTTTTTTTTTAATGATTGACTGGATGAATGGGCTAGATGTCAGAAGATGTTTGGCACTTGGCAGTGTGTTGTCATTATCCGCGGTGTTTGAGATGGGTCGACTGGGCCACTTCCTTTTGGACAAAACCTTTTCAGCTGAACATTAATGGGAAATGACAGGTGTTAAAAGCCACTCTGCAGGGAAAAAAATGAAAAAAAAATGAAACAGCGATGGAAGTTTTAGACGAGACATTTTTCCCTATTTTTTATTTTTTCTAGAATGATATATAAACCTCCCATAATATGCAGTGTATTAAATTCTGGCATATTGCACATTTCCTATAGGCTAATTATAAAGTTCTTATTGAAAAGTCTTTTTTTTTGTTTTGTTTTTTGTATTGACTCGGTTTTAGATTGTTAAACAGTCCTTATACAGCAGGGAGGACGCTCTCCTTCATCCTCCTTCTGGTTTCTGGGTGAAAATAGTTCAGTGTCCCCCCGCAATGCGATTCTTTTCGTAATCCGTCAGACTGGTGATGGGGTGCATTGTGGATTTATGGGGAGAAATTAGCATAAATTATGAGCAAATCTGCGTGTGCGTGTGTGTGGTCCCTGGCATTGCAAACCCTCCAAGCGGAAAGGTGGCCCTGGCCAAAAGCTTGAATAGCAATAGCTCAAAATAGGCTTCCCATTTGGTTTTCACATTCATATAATTGACTTATGGATATTTTATACAGTTTTCACCACACCATCCTCAAGGGTTTATTTGCATTTCTGAAGTACTTTTGAATCTTCTTTACATAAACACAATGGACCTGATTGCCTCATGAAGTTTCAGTTTGAACAGCATTGTTTGCATTGTGTTGATGTTTTCATATCGTCTACTTCCTTTGCTCAGCTCTGGGCGAAATTAGCTGAGAAAAACTAATAGTCGGCTCATCAACAAACTCGCTCATGGCGATTTATTTTGTAGGCGTGTGCATTTCGTAAACATTATTAGAGTGTAACTAGGAGAAAAAAAATTCTCAGCAATTTTGGCCTATCCGTAGAATCAGCTGACATTTTCATTCAAATCCACATCATTAAAAAAAAAACATTAACCATAAAACATTTTTTTTGGTGAAAACTCCTACTCATCACACACACCACTGCACAAACAAGAGTATTTTAATAAATCCATGTTTCGATCAAATACAATAAACATCTACCTAACAGCAGCACAGGCACTTTAAAGTGTATTTTTCTTATAATAAAAGAATATCAATAAATTACAATATGCCGAATCATTTCCACCTTCACCCTCATTCCATATCTAGATTTTACTGTAAAGTCCAGCTGAAGAAGTGTTAGCGCATACCTTCACACACTGAGTGCCATCGCAGTTCAATTCCGGTTGCCGAGCCTTTTCACCCCTTTTTCTGTCTTCAAATGGAAATGATTTCCATTGGCCCAAGGTGTCCATGTAAATAGGTGTAAATGAAACCAGATTATGCCTTCCTCCCAGCCCCCTCCTCCCATGGCAATTGTCATGTGATAGCAAAGAGGTGGCACATTAATGGAGCGCCCCTACAGGGGTCTTTTCTGCTCATGTCACTACATAAAACTATCAGATGGTTAGAGGAAGGCCATGGAGGCATCCACTTAGCTCGTCTTATCAAGGACGCCAAATGAAGTCTATTCAACTCTGCTAGCGGGACAAGCTGACTTACTTTGCGAGAAAGACTTACAGCAGCCGTCACTCCATAAATGTGCACCATCCGCCCGCCTGCACACAGCAGAGGCGCCCGACCTGGCTGTTTTACGCGCGACGCAGCTCCAGCTTTGCCTGCGCTGAAACTTTCCTCCGTGGCTGTTTTCATGAAGAGCGGCAAGCTTTCGCCAAGGAATTAAGGGAGACATACTTTTGATTGCTTTTCTCAAATAAATATATATATCCAGGATGCCTCGTCCGGGGAGAAACACGTACAGCGACCAGAAGCCACCTTACTCCTACATCTCCCTCACTGCCATGGCGATCCAGAGCTGCCCAGAGAAAATGCTGCCTCTCAGTGAAATTTACAAGTTCATCATGGATAGATTCCCTTACTACAGAGAAAACACTCAGCGGTGGCAGAACTCTCTGCGACACAACCTATCCTTCAACGACTGTTTTATCAAAATCCCCCGGCGCCCAGATCAGCCAGGTAAGGGCAGTTTCTGGGCACTACACCCCAACTGCGGGGACATGTTTGAGAATGGAAGTTTCTTGAGACGCCGCAAAAGATTCAAAGTGATGCCTGCGTCTGATCACTTGGCCCCCAGTAAGCAGTCGGATGCTGCCCATTACCTCCAGCAGCAAGCCAAACTGAGACTGAGCGCCCTGGCAGCCACCGGCACACACCTTCCCCAAATGTCAACTTACAACCTCGGAGTGTCTCAGACGTCAACTTTTAAACATCCGTTCGCCATCGAGAACATCATCGCCAGAGAGTACAAGGTCCCGGGAAGTCTGGCGTTCTCCACCATGCAGTCCATGTCTGCCGGGTACCCGCTCCACAACCAGCTGACGACAGCCTGGCCCCACATGTACAACACCAGCGTGATTGACACGGCGGCCCCGATCTCCATGGCAAGCAGCGACTACAGTGCCTATGGCGTGCCCATCAAGTCCCTGTGTCACGGGGGACAGTCTTTACCGGCTATTCCTGTGCCAATCAAGCCCACCCCGACCTCCATGCCCGGTTTCTCGGCGCTACCTCCACACATCCCCGCGTTTCTATCAAACTCTCCACAGTCTCTGAGCCCGACGTCCCCACAGACAGCGACGAGCCAAAGCAGCCCCGCAACCCCGAGCGAGACTCTGACGAGCCCCTCCACACTGCAGTCTGTGGCTGTGCACTGACCAGCTGAACTTTTTCCCCTGCAGCGAACGAACTGCCGGCTGGCTGGCTCCCAGGCCCCGTTACCAAACCCAAAGTTTCTATTTTCTGTCGTCGGAAAAACTATCAAGGCGAGTTGCAGTTGCATATCGATTTATTTGTGTATGTGTTGAATGTGTCGCTTTAAATTGTGTCATAGGAGTCCAGCACAGAATCGCACAGCGAAGTACAGGGCCTATTGCTCTTGAAAATATAAATTATTTGATAGTTCTATTTTTCAGTTTATTGTGAAATGTTGAGTGTTGACAGTGGGGCCGCTGAGGGGGGTTTCAGGAGGAATTTTGTTTCGGACACCATCGATTCTGATTTTTGAGTGCTTGTAATTCCCGTGGCAATTTTCTTTTTTTCTTCAGTTTTTATCGAACAGCAAAACTTTTGCACCGTTTCTGTGTGACCACTGTAATGTCAATGAAATTGCGAGGCAATGGCTCTGTGTTTATGTTTGCTTTGAATACTGGAATGATGGGTAAGGGTATACCAAATAGGAGTAGGATTTAGATTTGTTCTTACCATCCCTGTAAAAAAAAAAGAAAAAAAGAAAAGAAAGCAAACTGAGTTATGAAATCTTTTCAAAATTGAAAAGTAGTATTGTGAGACGTCCTCAAAATGCAAGATGTGAATATTGCAAATAACTGATTCTGAAATGTTGTAAAATGCACTTTTTAGTTTTATGTTTTAGATATCTATTTTCCAGAAAATGTTCTGTGAAGCATTTAATTTAAAAGGCTGTGGTGACCATGTGTATCAGATGCTGTAAATTTGTACTATTTTTTTTTTTTAGGTAAAGCATGCATTCTACAAATTTGTGTTGTTCCTGTTGTTGTTATTGTTGTTGTTTTGTTTATTTGTTTGTTTATTTTTTTGCAAGCATGCGTGCTTTCGAAAAGTGTGCAAACAGTCTGCAATGAATTGGAAAAAAAAACTGGTCATCGAAATATTTTCTCATTAAAAGTGAAGTAAACAATCAAAAATGTTTCTGAAGATTTAATCTAATACGATGTCACATTATTATTATGATTAGCATTATGATTATTATGATGGATATTATTATTATGGATATTATTATTATTAATATTATTATTATTATCCTATTGTGATCCTATTAGCCTATTAGCCAGTATAAATCAGACTTTTTTTAAATTGGATATCATTCTTCAATTTCATTTAAATTTAACAAAGACAATAATAATAATAATAATAATAATAATAATAACAATAATAATAATAGCACTAATAATGATAATAATAATAATAGTAATAATAATAATAGTAATAACCAGACCTGTATGATTTCAGAGTGTGAGAGTCGCAGAGAGGCTGTGGGGAGAGAAATGAATCGTGCAGTCCATTAGGATGCATGGAGTTGCGATGCCATGGCCACAGCGCAGACAACTGGGCTCATTCATCAAGCTGTAGGCTAAACACAATTAAGCCCAACAATAAACATTTAGAAAAGCTGCACAGAGTGTCCGAATTAATATTGTTACATATTTCAAATGTCACAGATGGCAGTTAAATAAGTGCCACGTTGATTTTTTTTGCGTGCAGTAATGAGAGCAACTGGCTGTTTCGACCTATTGATTTTTTTTTTCCTATTTGGGGGGGGACTTAATGCAACAGGTTTATAAATACAGACGGAGTATTTGCAGTAAAGTTCAAAATGCATTAAAGCATTTTTTTTTAATGGTTTTCAGAGGCTGAAATAAAAATAACTCGCTGTTTCTGCCTCCACTATAGAAAGCAACAACCTATCTCGGGGTATTAAACAAATACATTAGAATTCCGTCACTTTATGCAATCGAGTAGATCAAATAAAGGGTCTCGGGCCACTTCATTCTCCCTCATTCACTTGAATTGAAAGTGCAAAGAATGGCAAACTTAGACTGGGCCACCAATGTAGATTTAGCCTTTTTTTCAGCAAGACAAAAAGACTGATTTTTCACAAACACATTGCTGACTGGGGAACTAGGAAACGAGCTGCGAGACCCTTTTGGAATTTAAATCCACCCCTCCCCCATGGACTGTTTGTACAACAGTGTTAGTTTTTTTTTTTTTTCTTTTTTCTTTTTCTCCTCCCTATTTGGTGCATTTGTGTGTGTAACATTAATTCTGACTCTGGATGATTAAATGTATTGAAACTGCAACGCCAGATTACAAGCTTTAATTTTGAGGTAGATTTTATTTTTTCTGGCTGGCCATGACAATTATATTAAAACCACATTAACAAACATAACTCAGCATATTAACACAATTAAATCTATTAACACCTGTGTCACAAAAAAACCTGTAACAACATATATTGACAATATATATTAACTACACATTTATACTTGTGCATTTTTTTCTGTTTATTTGGAATTCAATGTACTTAACTTTGTCTTATTTGATCTGTATTGCACTGTTAGAAGTAAATGGTTTGTGTTATATACAGATAAATGTATGAAAAGAACTTTTGTGAATAACAAGTCATTCTATGTAAATTCATCATCTCAGAATGTGAAATGTAAAAAAAATAACCAAAAGTTTTCATTTGATGCATGATGTGCTAATGCAATATTCAGTCGGCATCATTTAAAAAGCAACATCCAGTCATCTTATAATTATGTTTTAAGACAGAGGAAATTACAGGAAATTAGTGAAATGTTGCACATCAGTGGTTTGAAGTCAGTCAGGAGTAAAAAAAAAAATTAAAATTAAAAAAAAAAAAAAGAGGGCTTTGTTTGGCTTATATTAAGTTCCATTACAGATAAATAAACAAATGCAGCAAATGAATAGAGCCCTTCAGAGAGCCAATAAAAGCCACTTGCATTAAAACATAATGTTACAGGTGGGAGGGAAGGACAGCGCTGGAAAGCTACATAGAAAACTCTGACACCTGACAGTCATGAAATTGAAATAAAGTGTCTTGGAAAACTTAATTTTCTCTGAATAAAACAACAATTGTTTCTGACACTACAAATGTTTTCATCCGCAAACATGGTCCCAGAGTTTTTCTTCCTTGTCCATCCTTCAGCCCTCGCTTTTCTTCCGTAATACAAATGAAATCTGCTCTTTGCTATTTCAGAAACCATTTTTCACCGTTCAGTAGCATCTGTATGAACTCAGTTGTATAATCCAAGTCTGCATTGTCCTTGTTCTCTCAACTATGTTCCAGTGAGACAAAGAAGAAGGTCATCTCAGGCAGGGGATGAAATATAGACCACATGCAAAACCCCAATGTTGTAGTTTAATTAAAATAATTCATTAAAGTGGAGGCCTAAGGTAATTAGCATGTATAATTTATGATTTGCTTAATGCATGCAGGCAGTGGCCTCCGCAATAAACTCAACTTAACCTCAAGTAGGGAACTGATACGGACAGGGTGCTGTTATTTACTGTGTGTTTATTGTTTGGATATTTGTCAAGAGGAAGCAAGTGTTTCATAAAACCCTGGCCGTTATCTGGCTTCCACTGCACACAAACAACTTATTTGTTTATGTGTTTATCTTGTGGATTTATGCTCACTCATAAGAGAAGCTGACAGATTTGTTGGGAGGAAAAGATATTGGGAATTGCCCCTTTGTCAGTTTTTTTTTTTTTTTTCCTTTTTTTGAAGTTATCCTGCTGGTCACTAGTGTTGAAAATAGTTTATGCTGGCTCTTTGAGCTGACAGAATGAGGACATGGACACAAGGTAGCTCGTCCTCTCTCGGGCAGCAGGCTGTCAGCACTGACTTTTAGAGGAGGCAAAATAATCAGTGATAGACAAAACTTGCATTAATTATGCTCTGCAAATGTGTCAATCCTTGACAAGCCTTTGACATTTTGAAACATGGCTAGTGGCTATATTTTATTATTTCTTGCAAGTGCATGTAGTTTTTTTACAAAAACAACAAAGTAAAACAAATATTTTCAGATGGAGCTGTGGACCACGGTAAACAGATTTATTTTAGTGGTGAATAAAGCAGCGTGGGGCTCGATGGGTGGAGAAGGGGCTACTGATTGAAAATCCCTATTTTCAGACACTTATGACTGAGTTACAATCATTCTTTTAAAATTGTGAATTTATCAGTCATTATTATTTTGTCAATTTAAGACTATTAATCAATAATTCAAATGTACAAATATTATAAAATTTGCTCTATGTGAATCTCAATCACTTAAGATTTTACCAAAGATCATCTTTTAGTTTTATAGAAAGATGATAAGATGTGTGAATGATTATCCACAAGTGAAACTCACATACCCCTCCTGCCAGTGCACATCATCATTATAAGTCTGTGTGGTTAAACCGTCAGTCATAATGTGTGAGTCCCAGGCTAAATACATTACATGGATGTGTCGGGGGGCAAAGGGCAGGTATAGTGGGCAGCTGGAGGGAGAGGCAGGGGAATGCAGCAGCATTCAAGGCTGGCTCAGCCAAACACCCATGTGTGCATGAAATTAGAGTGTCAACATCTGATTCATGCTGCTGGGTGGTGACTGTGAAACAAATTATGTCAGCGGGTGGCGGCAGCAAAATTCCACTGAGCTGCAGCAGACAGTGGCTACGTGAAAGTTATAGCAGGCCATAGATTCTGTTTTATAAACTGTGATGAAAGTTTTTTTTTTCTTTTTAATATGATAAACTTCTCAGCTCATATTCCAAAATGAATGAGTGAAAATATATTTTTTTAACAATTGTGTTTTCAAGGTATTGTTGAGCTGCAGACAGGGAAATTTTAAGCTCCCTAATGGAAGTGGGTGTCGTAAAAGAAGATCTAATGGTTCTAGGAAATGGGGTGATAATTGTTATTCAACATCAGGATGCATATTGTCTCTGACAGGGTGTGAGGTGCAAATGAGAGAGTTCCTACACTGACACTGTCAGCAGCAAAACAAGGTTTTTATACCTGAGATTTTCATGTCCAGGAAGCACTGACATTTTTTTTTAATGCAATATTAAGTAGAAAAATCTTCTTTTTTTTCAAATAGTAATCCCTCCAGTGTTCTTCCTTTTCCCCCCTTCTTCTATTAACTGTTTTTGTGGAATTTGTCCCAATCCGAACAGTGTCTGAACAGAGAGTACCACATGTACCCTTTGAGGCAAAGTTGTAATTTGTGGCTTCCAGCCATATAAATAAAACTGACTTGACTTTACACGATTAACAGTGGAGGAAATATCTTTTTCTTTTTACGGTTCAGTGAC